GTATCCTGCCTCGGCGGCGTCCTCTTGTCCAGCCACCTCTTGCCCTCCAGGTGGTTGTCCGTTGTGTGGTGTCCTTTCTCCTCCTGCGCGTCCGTGTCCAGCGCCGGGAGGTTGTTTGTGATCCGAATAGCCTCATCTTTGTTATTCAGCCCTCGCCTCCACGCCGTGTTGCGCACCTATTGTGCCATCCGTCGCTTGCGTTGAAGCTGTCGATCATCGTCGCGTGGCTGAAAATTGCTCCCTCCAGCGCGTGACAAACTTCTGGGATGCACTGGTCCATCCATTCGTTTCGGTTTTCACTGTTTTTTGGTTTATTGGCTTGTTCATCTACAGCGATGGTCGCCACCCCAGGGGCGTCGTATGTTTGGCCGCGATATGGCTCACCCTTTCGTGAGTGATGGCTCCATGGTTTAGGACCGCATGGGTCCCTACTTGCCTGCACTGCTCCTGCTGCGTGGTCCTCTTGGTGCCCCGGTGGTGCTCCTGGATTAGGTAGCCGTCCGCCTGATACTTTTGGTGCTCCTTGTTCGACCTTCCGTAGCGGGCGTGAGGATCGTGGTTGTTGGACGCCCGCCGCTAGTGTTGATTCTGACGATGGTGAGCGTGCTACCCGCGCTCCCCTGTTCCCTGTACTGGACGGTATGAAAGCCTTGTAGCAATCGTTGCAGCTTGGCCTTCCGAACTAGCGACAGGGTCAGCAGCAGCTGATACATTAGCCTTGTCGTTCCCCTCGGTGGCTCCACCTTCTGCTGACGCTGCTTCTCCCATGGCTTCGTCCTCCAAGGCCTCCGGCCCATCTTCTTGGAAACTGAACTCGGACGCGTCGCTGTCGCCCCCCCGGCGACCCTTGACGAACTCGTCTGCCTTGCGTCGCCTGAGCCCGACCTGCTTCCCCCACTTTCCGTGGTACTATAGCTCCAACATAATTACTGGCTGCCTCCTCGAGCGCCTTGATGAAGTTGGCCGCTCAATCCTTTGGCCCACCTCGTCCGACTTCAGCAGCTCTTTGTCCTCCTCCCGTGGCGTTTGAGTATGTTGCCTCCGGCGCTGCTGCTGGTTTGGGTGCAGCAGTATCTGCTGCTGCTATATGCGTTTGCATATCCTGTTTCGCCCCACCTGCTGCTTCTTCCTCTTTGCGGGCTTCCTCCTTTGCCGTTCCTGCGATGAGATCATCCAACACATGCTTGATCTACTTCTCGACCCCGGCCGAGGCTTCCATCTTTTGCTGGATGTCTTTACGCTTGCCCTCCAGCTTGACAATCTCTTGTTCCAGACCCTTGATCCGCGCGGAAAGTGCCTGCGACGTAGCCTGCTGTGTTCACTGCCTCTTCTCGAGCTCCCTCGGCTGATGGGACGGCGGCCGCTCCTGGTCGATCTGCGCATCCAGGTGCTTCGCCTCGGATTTCTTGATCGGGACGGACGAGAGGGTAGGATAGGGACAGGGGAGGGGTGGTGCGAAGTCTGCTGCACGCAGCTGGTTTCGAGGCCCCGCCGCCAGACCCATCTCTCGATACCGTGGGCGCCTATGGGCGCCAGGAGGCGCCATGAAAGCCAGTTGCTTGAGCTGATTCTCTGCCCGACCCATTGCTATCCTACCCTTTCGCCCCCCCCGACTCTAGCTCCAGCACTTCCTCAGCTGCCGAGACACCCTCCAGCTTCTTGATGTCGGCTCGCGGTTTCCCCAGCTTCGGACCTGCACCCTCTTGTGGCGCTGCTCGCCGTTCTCGTCCTCCTCCAAGCGCTCGATCTTTCTCCGCAGCTGGTTGAGCTCGTGCCTTTCCTTGACGTCCAGGTTGGCCGTGCCACTCCACCATGACCTGCCTGAAGTGTGAGGTGCCGTTTCCCCCGCTCCCGTGCTGAAATTTCCGCAATCCTTGCACGTGCTTCGAGTGCCCGAGTTCCTCCTTGGCACCGCACTTTCCCAACTTGGGTCACTGCCATGCTTCGATTTTTGCCCCTTGCCTCCTCCACCCATCTGTCGCCCCATTGGGCAAGCATGCGATGTTGCCTGGGCTCCCAAATGCTGGCTCGCGCGGGGGCGAGGTGCACAATGTGGAAAAACTGGCCTCTGGGACCGCGAAAGATATGTAGTTAACGTTGGTTCAAGCGCAACGCCTCGTGCTCGACGCGCCGCTGAGCGACTCGCAGTCTCGGCTGTTGAACTCTCATCCTTGAAATAATTATTGTTGATCCCCCCCCACCGGTGCACATTATTTTTTTTCAATTGAAGTGCCCCCCCGGGGCTGGCACTTTGTTTTTTGTCAAGGAAAGTCTTCCTGCTCAAACTGGCCCCCTGGCCCCCGGGTTACAACAACAACGGCTCCCGCCTGAGACTTCCTTACAATTTAGCCAGGACCCCCGCTCCCGCCCGAGACTTCCTTGCATTTTATTCAAGAATCGCGCTCTCGCTTGGGACTTCCTTACGATTTATTCAGGAATCGCTCCTCCTGCGCTCTGGAGTCGCGCTCTCGCTGGAGACTTGCTTGCAATTTACTGAAGAATAGCGCCCTTGCGTTGGAATTTCTTGCAATTTACTCCAGCGCCGCGCTCCCGACACCCAGTCACCCAGGAGTCGCGCTCACGCTCAGGACTCCTTCACAGATTACCTCGGAATCGGGATCTCGCTGCCCTTCGTGGCCCCGTTGCAGCCCTTCGTGGCCCCCTCGCTTTGTTTCGTGGCCCCGTTGCAGCCCTTCGTGGCCCCCTCGCTTTGTTTCGTGGCCCCGTTGCAGCCCCTCGTGGCCTCCTCGTTGCCCTTCGTGGCCCCGTTGCAGCCCTTCGTGGCCCCCTCGCTTTGTTTCGTGGCCCCGTTGCAGCCCTTCGTGGCCCCCTCGCTGTTTCGTGGCCCCGTTGCAGCCCCTCGTGGCCCCCTCGCTTTGTTTCGTGGCCCCATATGTATGTATGCCCTTCGTGGCCCCCGCTCGTTCGCGCCCGTGGTGGCCGCATATGCATGCCCTTCGTGGCCCCGCTGTCGCCCTTCGTGGCCCCCTCGCTGCCCTTCGTATCCCCGTTGCTGCCCTCAGTGGCCCCGTCTTTACCCTCCGCGGCCCAACATACGTATGCCCTTCGTGGCCCCCGCTCGTTCGCGCCCGTTGTGGCCCCATGTGCATGCCCTTCGTGGCCCCGCTGTCGCCGTTTGTGCCCCCTCATTGTCCTACGTGGCCCAGGTGCTACCCTCAGTGGCCCCATCGTTGCCTTCTGTGGCCCCGCATTATCTGCCCTTCGTGGCCCACGCTCGTTCGCGCTCTTCGTGGCCCCATACGCATTCCCTTCGTGTCCCCGCTGTCGCCCTTCGTGGCCTACTTCGTGTCCTTCGTGGCTCTGCTGTCGTTCTCTCTCGCTCTCGCTTTCGCTCGTCGTCGTCGTCGCCGTCGCCGTCGTTGCCGTCGTCGTCGACGTCGTCGTCGTCGTCGTCGTGGTCGGTCCCCTGTCCGTCCCTCTTGGGGTCGGGTCGACGGTCCGCGGCCGCCCCGCCGATCAGCGCTGCCGGTGGCCAGGCCGACGGTCCGCGGCCGCCCCGCCGCTTGCCGGGGCCTGGCTTGCAGGGAAGAAAGGTATACCCCCCAAAAGGGGTTCGATCGAAGACGAAAAGGGCGGGTATCGAGGGTTTGGGAAATTCGCGTTATTCGACACTCGAGGAGATAAGGGCGAACAGTCTTAACATGAGTGTTGTTGTTGTTGTTGTTGTCGTCGTTGATGGTGTTGTTGTTGTTGTTGTGGTTCATGGTGTTGTTGCAATTGTTGTTGTAGATAAGGGCTGCTGTGGCTGATGCTGGTTTTTATGATGCTGCTGCTGCTGTGCTGCTGCTGATAATGTTGCGGATGATGATGAGGACGATGATGATGCTGCTGATGATGATGCTGATGATGCTGCTGCTGATGGTAATGATGGTGCTGACACTGCTGTTGATGATACTGATGATGCTGCTGCTGATCATGATTCTGATGGTGGGGATGATGATGCTGATGCTGCTGCTGATGATGATGATTATGATGATGCTGATGATGGCGATGCTGATGATGCTGCTGCTGATCATGATGATGATGGTGGTGATGATGATGCTGATGCTGCCGCTGCTGATGATGATGATGATTATGATGATGCTGATGACGACGATGCTGATGATGATGCTGATACTGATGATGCTGGTGCTGATGCTGCTGATGGTGGTGATGCTGATGATGATGATTACTATTACTATGATTACGATGATGACGATGCTGATGATGCTGATGATGATGCTGATGCTGATGCTGATGCTCATGCTCATGCTGATGATGATGATGCTGATGATGATGCTGATTATGATGATGATGCTGATGCGGCTGATGATCATGATGATGATCATGATGATGATGCTGACGTTGATGCTGATGATGAGGATGATGATGAGGATGATGATGAGGATGATGAGGATGATGATGATGCTGATGATGATTATGATGCTGCTGCTGATGCTGCTGCTGATGCTGCTGCTGATGCTGCTGCTGATGATGCTGCTGCTGCTGCTGATGATGATGATGATGATGATGATGATGATGATGATGATGATGATGATGATGATGATGATGATGATCAGGAGGAGGAGGAGGAGGAGGATCATGATGCTGATGATGATGATGATGATGATGATGATGATGATGATGATGATGATGATGATGATGATGATGATGATGATGATGATGATGATGATGATGATGATGATGATGATGATGATGATGATGATGATGATGATGATGATGATGATGATGATGATGGATGATGATGACAGAGGAGGAAGGAGGGAGGAGAGAGCAGAGAGGCGAGAGCTGGGAGGAGGGAGGGAGGACTCAGGGGGAGCGGAGGAGGAGGAGGAGGAGGAGGAGGAGGAGGAGGAGGAAGGAGGAGGAGGAGGAGGGAAGAGGAGTAGTTGGAGGGAGGAGGGAGGAGGAGGAGGGAGGAGGAGGAGGAGGAGGAGGGTGCGAAGACGGAGAACAGGGCGTGAGGCGTGACCCACCAGGACAATGGACCGCACCACCAGCTGGTGCTGCGCCGCAGCTCCGACCTGGGTAGGACGTGGGGGCCCCTGATCCTGGTGGCGGATGGGCGCCAGCCGTGCGCGGTGTGCCCGGCGGCGATCTCGAACCCCAACCCCGTGGAGGTCTTCCTGGGGTGGGAGACGAGGAGGGGGAGGAGGAGGAGGGAGGAGGAGGAGGGAGGAGGAGGGAGGAGGAGGGGGGGAGGAGGAGGAGGGAGGGGGGAGGGAGGAGGGAGGGTGGGAGAGAGGGCCCTCCGAGCCGGGCGCTGCCATGTTCGCACACCGGGCCCTGTCGCCCGGTCCCGGTCCCCGGGGCCATCGCAGCTCGTCCGGGCTCGAGGGATGCTGCGCAAAGATGGGGTCTGGGGCTCGGGTGGTGTGGTTCGCGCTGTATATTGCTGAGGCCTCACGGCCGGTGCCGCTGGCCCGGAAGACGACGACGACGAATACGAGGAGGAGGAGGAGGAGGAGGAGGAGGAGGAGGAGGAGGAGGAGGAGGAGGAGGAGGAGGAGGAGGAGGGGTCGGATTAAGGTGGAAAGGGGCAGGAGAAGGCGAATGAGATGTTCCACATGTGGGCCGAGGGACGGGCATTTGTGGGACTCTCTTAGAGACCTCTGGGGCCGTCTCGAGGTGTTCTTGCAAGCCTCTTGGGCCGGTTTGGATCGTCGGGAAGCGGAAGAGGCCAGAAAGCCTAAATCGTTCCAAAACGCATAGGAAATGAACGAATGTTGCCTCATGGGGGCCGTCTTGGGAGTGATCCTGGATGCTTCTGGGGGCGCCTTGCACGCCTCTCGACCCGTCTGGAAGCCGTGAAGGCGTCTTGGATTGTTCGGCAATTCGGGGCACTCTTGGACCTTCTTGGGGGCCTCTTAAGGCACTTTTGGCGCGTCTTGGTGTTTTTGTTGGGCTCCGGGACGCCCAGGGGCGGATGCGTATCTGACCCCCCCCCGGGACTCCCCCGGGACCCGCCCCCTCGGCGGGGGAGGGATCAAAGGGAAGGGGCTTCCCTTTGACTTTGACTTAAGTGCGACGTTGCTGCGGTTTTTCCTCGCTGGCAGGCTTGAAGAGGAGGGTGCAGGGAAAGGGGACGACGGAGACGCAGGGAAAGAGGACAACAGATGCGTCGACTGAGCGCACGCCGACAGGGGGTCCACACGCCGACAGGGTCGACGGATTTTTCGCTGCGATCTCGGACCCCAGCCCAGTGGAGGTCGTCCTGTCTAGGCATCCCAAGTATGGTCTCAGCAGACGGGGGAGGAGAATCGCGCCGCATCGCCGATGCATCGCCGATGCGGCTCGACGTGGACCCCACTTTTCTCAACGCCGATGTCGCCGATGGCATCGCTGACGTCGACGATACATCGCCGATTCATCGGCGATGCTTCGGCGATGCGTCGCGACCTTCCGTCCCCACCTGCTCGAGGTCCCATCTGGGAGGCCTCCTATCCTGGGGTGGGAGATGTTGAGGGAGGGAGGGAGGGGAGGGAGGGAGGGAGGGGAGGGAGGGAGGGAGGGGAAGGAGGGAGATGTTGAGCAGGGAGGGAGGGAGGGAGGGGGAGGGACGGGAGCGGTCCAAGAGGGGGGGCGGAGGGAGGCTTCGTCGGTCCCTTGGAGGTCCTCTCGCCTGGGGATGCTGTCCGCCAGCCGCGCCCCGTCGGGGGCTCTCTGCGGGGGGGCCGCGTCGTCCCGAACGGCCGCCAGAGGTCTGAGTTACGGTGCGGGCGCGGTCGCAAGAAACCCTCGCAAGAAACCCAAACCCTGAGAACCCGCGCGCGAGGTGCAACCGAGGGGAAACCCGGAGCACCCCGAGCGCAGCAGCCCCTTCAACGGCCGCGGGAAGTCACCGCGCATCGCGCGGAGCGAAGAAACCCAGGACACCCTGACGAAAAATATATGGTTTCTTGATGCGCGCCCCCACCGTATGACTTGGTGGGAAGGAGGGGGCCCAGATCTCCGACGATCTGATCGGGAAGGCCTTGCGGCCAGTGCTGCCGACCCTGACGACGGCGACGGCGGCGGACGACGACGACGACGACGACGGCGGCTGCGGCGACGGCGACGCAGACGTGGAGCAGAGAGTCCTCAGGGATGCCTCGTGGGGCCTCGTCGGAGCGCGCTCGTAGGCCTCTGGGGGGCAGCTTGGGGGCCTGTTGGGAGCATCTCGAGGGCCACCAGGAGGGAGGAAGGCGACCCAGATCCCCGACGCTCTGCTTCGAGCGGCTTGCGCCACTCCGCCGACCGCCAGAACGAGGCTGCAGCTCGCAGGCTGGGATATACAGGTGAAGCAGGACGAGGGGCAGGAGGAGGAGGAGGAGGAGGAGGAGGAGGAGGAGGAGGAGGAGGAGGAGGAGGAGGAGGAGGAGGAGGAGGAGGAGGAGAGGAGGAGGAGGAGGAGGAGGAGGAGGAGGAGGAGGAGGAGAAGGGTCCGGAGAAAGAGGAGGAGGAGGCGGAGAGCGGGGGGGGGGCGATGGAGTGGGCCCCTCTGGGGGCCTCTTGGGAGCATCCTGGGGGCCTCCGGGAGGAAGGGGGGCCGGTGACCTGACGTCCTGTTTTGTGTTCAGTGCGGGGCCCCCCGGAAGTTCCGAGCCGCTCCCGTGAGCTGGCTTCTCGTCCCGAGTATTCTTTTCGACGGTCCTGGGGCCCGGCGAGGGCCTCCAGAGACCGAGCACGGCGGAACACCGCCGTCTCGATCTTTTCGGTGCGGTGGATCTCTGGGGAGGGCGCCCAGATCTCCGACGATCGAAACATCAAGGCATCTGTCAGGAGGGGAAGAAGCACACAGACACAATGAATCGTCGACTCCCAAGAACGTATGGGGAAGTATGGGAAGTGGGGGTGGGAGACGGAAGCCCAGAAAATGTGGGAAGAGATGTGGGGGACTCTGGGACTTGTGTGTACTCATCTGTGTGTCCCTGGGCCCGCTCACTCTGATCCCTGGGTCAGAAGTACCCTCCTACGCAGAAGCCTGCCCGCCTCCCCTTGCCTTAGGTCGGGCCTGTCCCCCTACGGGGGGATTTTCGACGAAAAATAAGAATACCCCAAGAATGCCCTCAAATGGTCAAAACATATTCAAAAAGTAGTCCCCAGACTATTTTGGATTATTTCTGGACTATTTGTGGGGTACTATTTCTGGATTATTTTTGGGTTATTCTTATGTTTCGTCGAAAATCCCCCTGTAGGGGGACAGGCCCGACTTCACCCCGGCCCCCCTCTGCGCGCCACCGACCTCCGGGGCCGCGGGCCGAGGACGTCGGGTCGGCGGGTGTCCTGGGGAGGGCGGGGCGGAGCGGGAGACGAAGCAGGCTCCCACGGGCCTCCGGGGGCCTCCTCCGGAGGAAGGGAGGGGGCGGAGGCGGAGGGGGAGGAGGATGAGGTGGTGTCCAGAGGCCTCTCCGGGGATCCCCAGAGACCTCCTTCTCCATCCTCCTCCTCCTCCTCCTCCTCCTCCTCCTCCTCCTCCTCCTCCTCCTCCTCCTCCCCCTCCTCCCCCTCCCTCCTCCCCCTCCTCCCCCTCCTCCTCCTCCTCCTCCTCCTCCTCCTCCTCCTCCTCCTCCTCCATTCTCCTCCTCCTCCTCCTCGATTCTCCTCCTCCATTCTCCTCCCCCATTCTCCTCCTCCATTCTCGACCTCCATTGTTCTCCTTCTCTTCCTCCTCCTCCTCCTCCTCCTCCTCCTCCTCTTCCTCCTCCTCCTCCATTCTCCATCCTTCGACCCTCGATCCTCCTCCCTTCTCCGCGCGCGCTGCCTTGTGCGCGGGAGCACGGTGGGGCGAGTGTAGAATGAGGTTCTCCTCGAGAACGGGTCCAGGGCTGTGCTGCTGCACTACGACACGCTGAACAACCCGCGCCGGGCGGCGCACGGCCTCGACATGCAGACCTGGAGCCTCGACGACGGGCGCACGTGGCATGGCGGCGAGGTGCTGTCGTATCCGCCCGAGCAGAACGACGGGTCCCTGATTGGGCCCTCGGTCGGCCTGCAGGACTCGGAGGGTGTGTGTGTGTGGCAAGTCTCAGAAGCCGGGCGAAGGCTGGCAAACCCGTGGCTGCTAAAACGGAGCTCCGGTAAATTGCTGCTTTCCCTCCGGGAAGCAGCCCGTTTATCATTTGGTGCGCTGAGCTTGGTTCCGGGAATTTGTCTTCTTCTTCCGGGGAGACCATTTTAGCAGCCACGGATTTGCCGGCCCTCGCCCAGCTTCCAAAACTCCCCAGGCGGGGAGGGACTTACGTTTCTGCCTGGTCTCGGGCCCCAGGGCCATCACAGGTCAATCAGGCTCGAAAGAGTGCAGCAGAAAGATTGGATCTCGGGCTCCGGTCGTGATTTTTCGCATCGTCTGATCTCAGGGTGGGGGGGTGAGGGCCACGATACCTGCCCTGATGTATGGCGCCCTCTCCTTCTTTCAGCACGTCCCTCGGCCCCCAGCTGGGCCGCACACGTGCCTCGGGCTATGATTTGCGAGCTCCCCCTCTTGGACGCCCCCCTCTTGGACGCCCCCCTCTTGGACGTCCCTGGTTCGGGGGGCCGCGAGGCGGCCAGTGAAAGCCGAGGAGACCTGCGCTTGGGGGGAAAGCGGGCATTTTTGCTGTCCGTTGGGCCATGGCGAACGGGATTACCTTTGCGCGACGTACCCAGCGGTTGCTCCTTGACCGTCGTATGCACCGAAGGACTCGCCGACTCTGGACATGATGACCACGACTAGATCGCGATGACGAAGACGATAATGATGACCATAACGATGACGAAGACGATGCTGGGCATGGTGATTCATATTATCATATCATCACCACCACCATCATCATAATCATCATCAGCATCATCTTTATCATCATCCTCATCATCATCATCATCATCACACTCATCATCATCAGCATCAGCAGCATCATCATCAGTATCAGCATAGCGTCGTCACCATCATGAGCACCATCAGCATAATCATCATCCTCAACCTGGTCACCACCATTATCATCATCATCATCATCATCATCATCATCATCATCATCATCATCATCGTCATCATGATCATCATCATCATCACCATCATTAGCATCACCATCATATTCAAAGTCAGCATCAACACCATCACTATCATCATCATCCGCATCATCATCTGCATCATCATTATCATCATCATCACCACCATCAGCATCATCATCATCACCATCACCATCACCATCATCATGATTACCATCATCATCCCCTCAGCATCAGCATCAGCATCATCACCATCATCAGCATCATCAACCTCACCACCACCACCATCATCATCAGCAGCGTCATCGTCATTACCATTATCATCATCATAACCATCATCAGCATCATCATCGTCATAATCATCATCATCATCACCATCACCATCACCATCACCATCACCATCACCATCACCATCACCATCACCCTCACCATGACCATGACCATGACCATCACCATCACCATCACCATCACCATCACCATCATCATTATGCTGGGGCTCCAGCATCGGGGGAATCAGTTGCCTGCTGAGTTTGGCATTCTCGGACCAGGTACAGTAGGCGGGCGTGTCCGCTGGGGCCTGAGTTGGAACTCCGGGGGGGGGATGGCGGATGGATAGGGCTCCTCCTCCTTCTCTTTCTCCTCCTCCTCCTGCTCCTATTCTTCCTCCTCCTCCTCACGTTCCTCCTCCTCACGGGGAGGGGTGCGAAATGTGCGCGCGCGCGCGCGCGCGTGTGTGTGTGTGTGTGTGTGTGTGTGTGTGTGTTTGTGTCTTTGTGTGTGTGTGACCACTGCGGGCGGGGTGCAGTGTCTTGTAGCCATCTTGATCTGCTTGCTGTCGTCTTGGGCTAGTCTTTGGTGGTCGTCTGGGGGCGGTCTTGGGCTGATCTTGAGGCCATCCGTGGGGTCCCCTGGACAAGTCGGAGGCGGTATGGGCGGCCAGGAGCTAGCCTGAAAGCCTTGCGCAAACCATCCCAGAAGGATGCTAAGACCATATTCTTACAGCAAGCCACAAACTCATCACGTGCGTTCGCCTCCCAGGGGTACGGACTTCATGCGAGCTCCTTCGGACTCTTTCGGGCGTGTCGGGGGCAGTCGGGGAGTCCTGGAGCCGTCATGTCATGACCTGCTGCGGATGACCTTCAGCTTCTCGATCAGTCTTGAACCCGTGCTGGGCTGCCTTGGTGGTGTTTTGTGCACATGTTCGGTGCCGTCCTGGAGCGGTTGCCTGCTCGTGTGTTTCCCCCAGGAGGGTTTTTGAAACAACGGCACTGCGTGGTAATGCTAGAGCTACCTCAGCGGCCTCGTGTTGGAGTTTGAGGTTGCCCAGCTCTGGTTCCGGCCAGCACACAGGGGGAAAGGGTGCATTTTCGTGCGTTTCTGACTCGCTGGGGGCTTCTCGTCGGCTGGACGTTTGGACCCCAGGAGGGATCTGGGGACTGATTTTGAGTGGATTTGGCTTCGTCCTATTTTCTCGGGTCGGAGGTTGATAGACCTCCTACCCCGACGCGTCGATTAGTGAATTGGCCGTTTTTGGTTCGCAAGAGGCGTCGCGGCCGTTATTTTTGCGGATCCAGGTCTGTCGGTTTTTGTCGGAGGAGGCGGAGGAGGAAAAGGAGGAGGAAAAGGAGGAGGAAAAGGAGGAGGAAAAGGAGGAGGAAAAAAAGGAGGAGGAGGAGGAGGAGGAGGAGGAGGAGGAGGAGGAGGAAAAGGAGGAGGAGGAGGAGGAGGAGGAGGAGGAGGAGGAGGAGGAGGAGGGAGGTTTACTAAAGGGAGGTTTGTCCACCGCCGATCGGGGCCTGTCCGGCTCGAACCCCCGGCCGCCTCCGGGCCTCGTGCGCGCGGCGTAGACGTCAGCTGGATTTGAGCCGTGGATCAGCCACGCGCAGAGGGGGGTGGGGGGAGGGGGGAGGGCTTTTGTGAAGCACCCCTGCTTCTTAGAAGGCGCGGGACTTCTCTATAAATGCAAGGCTGGCGCCTTCTAAGAAGCAGCCTCCTTCTAAGAACCCCCCCCCCCTCCCTCCACCCCCTTGCGCGCGCCGCCAAGTGGATTCCGAAAGCTTTTGGGAAGGCGTTGATTGCCCACTCCGTGTCTTGGCCGGCGCAGAGGCCGCCCAAGGCAGCAGCGGGCTCACGAAGGGTATGCGATGAGGCTTCTTCACGCACGAAAGTATGCCGTTGCGTCACACCATCGTCTCCGCAGCGCGTTTGGCGGACTGCTTCCGGGACGCGTTTGGCGCACCGCCATAATTTTTCAGTCATTTCTCTGCCTACGCGTCTTCATGATGCACGGCTTGCTTGCTTGCTTGCTTGCTTGCGTGTCGCCAGATTCCCTGCCTCAAGGATGCGAGGGGAGTCATCTTCTTCTCCGCTAACAGGGTCGACGGCAGTGGACACTTTCTCTACCACTCCGCTGATCGAGGCAGGAGCTCCAGGCTGCCCAAACGGGCCAGGGGCAGATTTAGGTCGGGCGTGCCCCCCTACAGGCGGATTTTGGGCGAAAAATCAAAATACCCCAAACCTATCCCAAAATGGTCAAGACTATTTTTTCACAATTTTTGAACATTCCCCCTGTAGAGGGACAGGCCCGACTTCAGGGCAGATGGGGTCGGAGGATCGCGCCGTATCACCGACGCGCCAGCCACGCAGCGCGATGCGGGGTGCACTCTCTCGGACCCCGACGCCGCCGAGGCCTCGCGGATGCACTGGTCGATCCGGCGCGCTCTCCCGACCCCAGCCTCTTGTCGGAGGGTTCCAGAGGGGGGTTTTGGGGGCGGGGGTTTTCCAGGAGGGGTCCCCCGTATAATTTGTTATAGATAGTCAACTATATCATACAATTATATGTGATATATATATATATATATATATATATATATATATATATATATAATATATTATATATATAGATATACATGCCCTTTAGCTCTCGGGAGGCGGCAGAGACAGGTAGGGGAGAGGGGGGGGCCTCAAGCGCAGCTGGCTGGCTCTGGCAGCTGCGCGGGTGCAAGCGCCATGGCCTGGGCTCCAGGCGGCCTGGCCTTCGCGCGCGTGGCGGGCGGAGAGGCCGGCCGACGGCAGGCGATCAACGTGGGGGGCTTCGTGGTGGAGGTCCACGAGGCCCACATCTCCCTGGCGATCCCCGCGGTCGCAGCCCGAGCCGTGGGTGGCGCCGCCTACGAGGCGGCGGTGAGAGACCGTGCGGGTGACGAGGTGCAGGTGGGGTTCGTTGTCGTGCCCCAGCGTCGGCTTCGCGACGCAGCGCTGGAGGGATGGGGGGACGACTACATGCACTTCGGCGAGAGGAGGTTCGAGCTCGAGGCGCTCCAGGCCGGGTTGGTGGCGGCAGGCGGCGGCATCCACACGTCCACCGAGGACGCGGAGGTGCCGAGACCGCCGCCGACAGAGACGCTGCCGCAGGGCGCTCCGGGAGGCGGGGCGGCCGCGGCGGCGCTGGGGCAGCGGGCGCTGCTCCGCGCGGCCGGAGCGGGCGCGGGCCTCCCGGGCCTGGAGCAGCTCGTCGCGCGGGCAGCGAGGCGGCTGCAGTCGGCGGCCCCCGCCGCCGAGGAGGACAGCTCGTCGGAGTCGGAGGTCGAGGCCGACCCGCGCGACGGGCGCGCGGCGCCGTCGGCCGGGCAGGCGCCACGAGCCGCGGGAGGCCGGAGCGAGCGGCGGCGCCTCCTGTCGAGCAGCGACGAGGAGGCCCCGCCCCGCGCGCCCGCGGGGCAGCAGGCGGGCTCCAGCGGCGGCGGCGCGACGGCGGCGGCGGCCAGCCTCGACCCGAACGGGTTGCAGAGCTTGCTGCAGCTTCGGATGCTCGAGGTCTTGGAGCGGCTCGAGACGGGCAAGAAGCAGAGCTCGTCGGGCGACGAGGACGAGGCGATCGGTGGATTGGGCAGCGTCGGGAAGGCAGGCAAGGCCGTGCGGGGCATGAGACGCCTCCGGCGGCGGGTCAAGCGCCACCCTCTTCGAGTGGTGCGCGCGTTCAGGGCCGAGGTCAAGCGGGCGCTCGGCGTGCAGCACGGCATGGCCTGGACGTACTTGGACTACGGGAAGAGGCGCATCCCGTGGGGCAAGCTGTACGACCTGAAGAAGACGTACGCGATGCTGGTCGCGGTCCTCGAGTACATGGACAACGAGAAGTTCGACGAGGCGCACGGGCAGCTGGTGCAGATCATGAAGGCCCTGGAGCAGGTGGCGATCAACCAGGGCTCGTGGAAGGCGGCGTGGCCGCTGTCGGGCCTGGTCGACCCCTACAGCCGCCGGGGCTTCGCAGGGGGCGAGTTCGAGACGGAGGTGGTGGCGGCCTACATCACGGAGCTGGAGGCCTTGGAGTCCAAGGTGAAGCAGCGCGGCGGGCTGGTGGCCACCCCGGAGGAGTCGGGCGCCCAGGGAGCCGACGCGGGAGCGGGGGCCAACGACAAGGGCCCGAAGAGCAAGTACAAGAAGAAGCCCAAGAAGGAGGGGGCCTGAGCGGGCCGCCCCCTTTGAGGGCAGGTGCGTGTCTGGGGAGATGGGGCTTCTGGCGCTGCGGCCAGTTCCTCAGAGGCGCGCCGTTTGGGAGGTTTTGGCATTGGCACCGCAATGCGACACGCAAGTGCGAATCTAACCTGGACAGTGGGCTGTCCAGCTCAGCAGATCCTGAGAGGCTTTTCCCCATGCCGCTGCCGTTCGTGGAGGTGGCGGTGCGCGCGTCGAGGGAGCAGGCGGACCCCGTTGGTCGGAAGCAGTTGCGGATGACCGAGAGGGCCCAGCATCTCACGAACGTGCTCGTCTCAATGTTCTCCTACTGGGAGTGCGGCTGCCCGAAGGCAGCGGCAGCCTACCCTGACCTCCGCTGGTCTCCTGCACGACGGGTGGCGGCGGAGAACCTCTTTCAGGATGTGTTCGAGTTTTGCCGTGCTGCTGGACGTGACGCTCACGCAGCACGAGGACTGGGGAGGCTGCAGAAGTTGGCTTCCGAATTAGCATCTCTACCCGGTGAGGCGTACGAGCGGCAGCAGCGCCCAGATGCCGAACCTGGCTGGGATATGCAAGCAGGACAGCTGTCGGCGGACACACTGGCGCGTGCGTTGGAGGTCCAGCCCGACCGTGTGAAGTTGAAGACCCCTGGGCCAGGCTGCGATCCTGCTGACCACCTGACGGGCAAGCAGCTCGCGGAGTACGTCAGCTACATGGACCGCTGCTTGGCTCCCGAGGCCTGGCCGGCGCCCTTGCCGAGGAGGTGCCACCGCATCTCGAAGGATAACGAGCTGAAGCTGGTGAAGGACCTCCTGGAGCGCGGGATGGGGACCCTCGTCCCGGCCGGCGACGTGCCGCGCGACAAGGCTGGGTGCCCTCTGGCGTCGGGCTGGTTCGCGGTCGAGCACAGCGAGAAGTGGGACCGTCTGATTCAAGATAGGCGTCCTCAGAATGCGACTGAGGAGCGCCTCGCCTGGCTGCAGTTGCCGTCGGGAGAGCAGCTGAAGTTGCTGAGGTTGAACTCGCCGTCGGAGCACGTCAGGGGGACCGTGTGCGACCTGAAGACCTACTTCTACCAGGTGAAGCGGCCGCAGGGCACGGAGTCGCGGAACGTGGTCGGGCGGGCCTGGCAGGGCCGACAGCTGGGGAAGCTGGCCCCGGACCCGAACCAGCACTACTTCGTGGCGCTGACCGTCTGGGGCATGGGCGACGCCAACTCGTGCGACGTCTGCCAGGAGACGAACGTGAGCATCCTTCGGAAGAGTGGGTGCATGACACCTGCCGAGTCGTTGAACGCCCAGCTCACCGTGCCTGTCGGCCGGACTTGGGAGGGCAACTACCTCGACGATCACTTGACCGTGCAGGTGTTCAGCGACAGCGAGCGGGGCAAGGGCCTCCGCGACACGGAGATCGGCGAGCGGGCCAAGCAGGCCTGGGAGCAGGCCGGGCTGCCTCGCTCAGTGGAGAAGGACGTTATCGAGCAGCCCGACTTCACCGCCTGGGGCACGGAGGTGAGAGACGGGCCCGGCGAGGTCGGCAGCCCGCTGCACAAGCGGCGGATCTTGGCCTCGCTGACCTTGGACATTCTGGAGAGCAAAAAGATTTCAAAAGGGATGTTCAGAATGTTGCTTGCAAATTACGTTCGCCCATTCAGCCATCGTCGCGAGCTCTTTGGTTGCTTCCATCGTTCGTTCACATGGTTAGAAAGCCTGACTTCCGAGCGAGATCTGGTCACGATTCCCGCAGACATTCGAGACGAGCTGTTCGCCGCCGCCGCCCTCCTCGCCCTCGGAGTTGCTCACATCCGTTGGCCCGTAGACCCCGAGGTTTCGGCGAGCGACGCGACCGAGGACTCGTGCGGGTCCTGCACGGCGAAGGTCCCCAGTAAGATCTCCAGGGCGCTCTTCAGGGTTGGGGCTCATAGAGGTGAACACGTGAGGCTCGACTGGAACGAGATCGACCAGGTCCTGGCTTCCACCAGGATGTGCAGGCCCTTGAGTGACATAAACGAGGCCTTCGCGAGCTTCGACTGGAAGGTGCAGAGGGGAGGTAGGTTCGCAAAGCATAGTCACATAAATCTTCAGGAGATGCGGGCGCTGAAAGGCGAGATCAGACGTAGAGGTTTCCAGAACATCCAGAAGGTGCTGAATGAGGTCCCTGAGGCTCCAGCGTTTGGGGGTGCAGCAGGTCTTGGGAGTTCGGGCCGTCCTGGGCGTAGGGCTCCGAAACAGTTCGACGACTCGAAGGGCGTCTCCCGGAAGGTCGTGGGCGTGACTAGGGGCTCGGACCAGATCAACGACTCGAATGGCATCACAGAAAGAAGACAGGGGAAAGAGGCTTCGAGGGGTCGGGAGAGTGCAGGGACCACGTTCGTGTGCGGGGTCGACAGCCGTGTGTGTGCAGGAGCGTTTGGAAAGGGGCGCTCATCATCGTTCAAGCTAAATGGCATTCTGCGTACCGTCATGCCCTACCTGCTGAGCTGCCGTTGCCATGTGGCTCTAGTCTGGATCGGGACGCACTTCGACCCGGCGGACGCCCCGTCCAGGTTTCGGCCGCTGCCCGAGCCGGGCCCGCCGCCAGCCTGGATAGAGGCCAGCAGGCGCGCGGCGAGCGCGGCGGCCGCTCGCGCCGAGGCCAGGCGGGCTGCTGGCTCGCCCGACGCGCCCGCGGCGGACCAGGGCAAAGCCAGGGCAGAGGCGGCCCTCGAGGGCGTCAGCGCGGAGGAGGCGCCCTGCCCAGTCGGCGCTGCTGCTGGCTCGTCTGCTGCCGAGGTCTGCGCTCCGCCGCCGTGCAGCCCGCTGCCTTGGGCTGTGCCGGGCGGCCGTGCCAGGCGCTGGCAGAAGCGGGAGTACTTTGCTGGGAAAGGCGAGGTGACGAGGGCCCGGGCTGCCGCCGGGGCCTGGATCGAGCCGCCGCTGGACGCCTACCCGCCCGAGGGCTACAGACCGGAGCGCGACCTGCTGCTGGCGGTGAACGCGAGGCGTGAACTGGCTCAGATCCGCGCCCATGCGGTGCGAGTCGGTGTGTGGGCGACGCCGTGCACGACGCTCGGGCTGCTGTACCAGAACTGCGGCCCGGGGACGCGGACGGCTGACCGACCACAAGGCGACGGCACCCGGCCCGCTGAGCGCCAGGGCAACAGCCTCGGCCTCACCACGGCAGCGGGCTGCACCGCGCTGGGCGAGGAGGGCGGGCTGTGGGTGGTCGAGAACCCCCGCCGCTCGTGGCTGTTTCGCCAGCCCGCCATGCAGCGACTCATGGCCCGTGAAGGCGTGTACCTCGTGGAGTGCGACATGTGCCAGTTCGGTCTCGCGCCGCCCGACGAGCCGGAGGCGAGGCACAAGAAGAGTACCTACCTGCTCGGCAACTTCCCGGAGCTGCGGAGGCTTGGGAGGCGCTGTCAGGGCAAGTGCAAGCACGTGCACCTGGAGGGCGCGGTCAAGATTGCAGGGCGCTGGCAGAAGCGGGCGGCACTGGCATCGGCCTACACGCCCGAGTTTGCCCAGGCGCTCGCGGCCGCGCTGGCTGCCGCCGAGACGAGACTTCGTGGCTCGCCGATGCAGGTGGGGCCGCGGGGTGTCAGCTATCTTTGACAGCACGCTGGGCTTTCCTGGCGAGGGTCCTGCTGCGGGTCATCCTCAACGGCGTGATCTGCAGGCCTCGCTGCACGGGGAAGCCCACGCTGGGAGGCTCGTGAAGGCAGCGGAGGAGCTGACCGCCTACGGCCGCTCGCACGGCTGGGGCCGGCTGGACCGCTGGCTGCCAGACGCCTCCCGAGGCAGAGTGGTCAAGCGTCTGATAGAGGTGATTCAGTACTTGTTCAATGAAAAGAGACCGATCGCAGAAGCTAGGTGCGCAGTGTTGGCGGTGCAGCAGCGCCGCCCTGACCTGAGAGGGCAGCTGGGCGGGGCTTGGGACTCAGTCAGGTCCTGGGCCTTCGGCGAGGACTCGCAGACGCGCACGCCCATCCCGCGGGAGATCCAGCGCACGCTGCGGAGGTGGACGCTGGCCAAGGCTTTGCTCCTGTCCCGCCCGCCGTGCCTGGCGCTGCTAGAGTACAGCATCTTCGTGCGGGTGGCCATGGACGGGCTACTGAGGCCGGGGGAGGGCGCGAACCTTAAGGGTATGCACGTCCGCTTTAACCGCAGGAAGTCGTCAGATCAGGCTGTGCTGGTCATCGAGAGTCCGAAAAACAAAGCTTTCTTGGGCAAGAGACAGACGGTCTTGCTGACGCGCCCCTCCACCGTGGCCTGGCTTCAATGGTGGATGCATCGAGTGGGGCCTGACGACCCAGTTTTCCCTTCTGGCTACTCGGGCCTCCGGCAGATCCACGTGGGCCTCGTCAAGCAGCTTGGGATCCCACAGTTCACGCTAGCGGGTCTTAGAGCGGGCGGAGCGATCGAGCTGTTTATGCGCGCCAGAAAAATTGCTGGGGTAAAGTTCCATGGGAGATGGGCTTCAGAGCGTTCTCTTGCACACTACATCCAGGAGGCCAATGCTGCCGCAGCCTTGTTCGATCTCGAGCCCAGCATTGCCGAAGTTTTGTGCCGCATTCGAGCGGAGTTCAGCTGCTTGGATGTCGGCCCGCCCTGCATCGGATAAACCCTCGACAGCGCGCCTGCGCCAGTCGGCAACGGTCATGCTCGACGCAGCGGGCAAGGTCGAGGTATCAGCAGGAAAGATAGCGTTTGGAGAATCAGTTGCAGCAGTCTTTGAAGGAAAGCAAGATTATGCGAAGCAAGTGGCTTCGCGTCAGAGTCAGTCGTACCCATTGAAAGTGTTACGTGCCTACACCCGTGCAATGCATGCCTTGGAGGAGCTCGGCGGCATCGTGCCGGAGACGTTGTGCGCAGGACCGCTGCAGGATGGCGATGAAGCGGGAGGCCCAAAGGATGCCTTGGTCGTCGCAGTCCCGAAGCACCTTGTCAAGACCGTCACCTCCGGCAAAGCCGAGCCGCCCGCCCGCTACGGGCTGGTGCTGTCATGGTGGGCGTCTGCGGGATCGTGGTGGGCATTGCTGCGCCTCCTCTGGCTGGGCGACTTCGTCCAGAGCATCTTCGACGGGAGGCACTTCAAGTTTCTGACCTGGCCGCTCCTTAGTGTGTTCGCGATTCTGCTAGTCTATAGGCCCGACTGGATCGTGGACTGTCTGGCGAGTATCTTTTTCGGAGTCCTTGAGCATGCGGCGGACCGCTCAGTAGCCAGTGTCTATCGATTGGGCCGTCGCGGTGCAGATGCAGTTACTTCGGCGGCTACTCGTACCCAAGATGTTGCCGAGGCTGTCGTCACTGTGTTCGAGAACGCCTCGCTCGCCTGGGTAAACCTATCCGATCATATAGAGCAGGTGGCAGAAGTGGTCGGCCCAGCTGTGACGTCCGCGGTGGACGCCTCGGTTGAGTTCGTCGACCTCGTCATTGACAAGGCCGCCACCGCCGCTGCCGACAAGACTGTGGAGCTGCTAGATGACCTGCCCGAGCAGCTCCAGGCCGGGGCCGTGGATATCGCCACCACCATGGCGTCTGCAGTCGTGGAGGTGCCGCCGGCCCCGACCCTGGCACAGCCGGCGCCGCCAGTCACCTTGCAGACCAAGAAGGGTGGCTGGGTAAAATATGCAGTGACCCTCATCGTGGGGGCCTACCTCCAGCGTCGGTTTCGAGGTTGACTTCAGCCCGCGCGCCGAGCTGGAGGATCCACGGCTTCGTGTACCACGGCTTCGCCGATGTGTGGAGCTTCGCTCGCGCCCGCCCGCCCTCCCGAAAGGCTGGTGGGGTTGGCAGTTGTGATTTTGAGATCGAGCCAGCTTCAGAGTGTGCCTGCCCGCCCGGACAAAGGCCGTGCGTGAGCAGGCAGTGGCAGCAGCAGGCTCGTGTTGGGATACCTTCGAGGACTAACGCGCGTGTGTCGCAAAAGTGAGTGAGACACTCGTGCGCTTGTATTCTGTCGCAGCCCTCTCGGGCTCAGCTCCGCCGCAGGGGTCCCCACCCAGTCTAGCCAGACGAGAGCTGCCCTTTAGCTCTCGGGAGGCGGCAGAGACAGGTAGGGGGGAGGGGGGGGCCTCAAGCGCAGCCACCTCCACCCCGACCGCCATCCCATTTTTCTTTTTTCGGCAGTTGTGATTTTGAGATCGAGCCAGCTTCAGAGTGTGCCTGCCCGCCCGGACAAAGGCCGTGCGTGAGCAGGCAGTGGCAGCAGCAGGCTCGTGTTGGGATACCTTCGAGGACTAACGCACGTGTGTCGCAAAAGTGAGTGAGACACTCGTGCGCTTGTATTCTGTCGCAGCCCTCTCGGGCTCAGCTCCGCCGCAGGGGTCCCCACCCAGTCTAGCCAGACGAGAGCTATATATATATATGTATTGTTTTGGGGAAGCCTATCTAGTTTTAGGGTCCCCCAGGGGCCTCGGAGCCTCGTCAAAACGGGGGGCGCGCAGCCCCTGGGGGACCCCTCCTGAAAGACCCCCTCCCCCGAAGAGCCCCTCCCTTGGAGCCCTCCAGTCTTGGGCGCGGCACCCAGGAGCTGGGTCGCGTCCGCGCCGATCCCGGTCAGCGGCGAGTGCTCCATCGCCTTCCTGGTCGGCCCGCTGGACGGGCGTCTCCTCGTCAACTGCCGCACCGGCCGCGGCCAGCGCGCGCAGGCCTCGGCGGAGAATTCGGGGGTTCGCGCAGAGGGGTTCTCCCAGGGGGGGGGGGGGTTGTCTCAGCCACGCGCAGAGGGGGGTGGGGGGAGGGGGGAGGGCTTCTTTGAAGCACCCCTGCTTCTTAGAAGGCGCTGGCCTTATCTGTAGATACAGGGCCGCCGCCTTCTAAGAAGCGGCCTCCTTCTAAGAAGCCCCCCCCCCTCCCTCCTCCCCACTTCTCCGCCCGGTTCCTGACTCCTTCTGGCTGGAGAGCACGTCGTTCGTAGCCTCCCTCCTACACGTCCTCCTCCTTCTCCCTCTGCTCCTGCTCCTCCTCCTCTTCATCCTCCTCCTCCTGCTCCTCGTGCGCGCCGCCAATGATCGGAGAGCAGCAGCTACACGCCTGCACCGATCCAGTACAGGGCCGATCCTGGGCCCAGGATCGGTGCATATGCCCTCCTGACCCTTGCAGGAGGGCGTATGCACCGACCTGGGGCCCATGCTCGGCCTGGTTAGGATCGGCGTATGTAAGTCGTTGGCGCCCTCCCTAACAGAGGAGGAAGAGGTGCCGATACATCGCTAGCCCGCTCTCGTTGTCGTCTGGGCCTCCTCGGAGGCCCCCGTCGCCACTGCTGGACTCTCCTCGAGAGCCTGCTCAGAACGCGCCCCTGGGAGAGGTCCGCGGAGCACGGTCAGCCCGCACAGTAAGGATGATCGACTTCCCGAGGGGAAGTGCCCTTGCAGCCCTGCCTCTTCGGTCATCTTCGGTCCATCCTCGACCACTCTCGTTGGCCAGCCCCGCTCGAAGCGCCTCGGCATTGGCGCCCAAGGCCCTCGCCCAGCCCCGCTCGAAGCGCCTCGGCATTGGCGCCCAAGGCCCTCGCATCCTCACCGCGCATCCTTAATGTACGGGGTGGCTGTAGCGGTGTCGGTGCCTGTCTGTCGCGTTGCGGAGAAGTCCCGACGGCCACTGCTGTCTAGGATTGGCCTCCGGAGGCCTTATCCCGATGTGGTCAAGTGTCGGGCGAAGAGAACTATGCACATGTACCGATTTTGGCCAGGCCCATCCTGGGCCCAGGATCGGTGCATATGCCTTCCTTGCCAAGGCAGGAGGGCGTATGCACCGATCCTGGGCCCAAGATGGGCCTGGCCAGAGTCGGTGCATGTGCGTAGTGCGTAGCGTAGTTCTCTTTCCTCTAAGGGGGCTCCAGGAGCCGTAGAGGGCGGTTTTCCTCCGACCCCGCCTCTGGCCCGTACCGCAGCTTGCTTCGCCGCCCCGAGAGAGAGAGAGAGAGAGAGAGCAGTCCGAAGGCTGAGAATTCTGCTACAGTCGGACCGATGTGTAAGATCAAGGTCGGCTCGTGGAGGGTGCCCTGGTGCTCTTCGTGTTTGCTGGATGGTCTCGTGCACCCTGGGGAGGATGCCCTTGGATGTTCTGTGTGTTTTGGCCGGCCTCGAGGGATGTTCTTCTGTCCCAGGTTCGACTGTGCCTCATGGCCGAGGTTCCAGGTCTCTGGGACGCTTTTGGTTTCCCTTGGGCCCGTGAAGGCTTGCAGAGACATCCAGATCTCCAGGGATTCCCAGGATGCCTCCAGAGACCTCCATGGGGACGAGGAAGTCGGACAGTTCGAGGTAGAAGCCGGCCCACTTGAGACAATTTGCCTCATTGTGGAATCGCCTCGGCCCTGACAGGTGGTGATGTCAGCGAACGGCACATCTGCCGGCGAAGTATCGAAGACGCTTACGGCGACTCAGCGCCGCCCCCTGCCTTTTGGAAACGGCCATGCGAACAAACGTTGGGCCGAAGTCAGGCCAAGCTATCGGACTATGTGTTCCCCCAGCCATTGTGGAACCCCTCGGGGGAACAATCGGGAGAGGAAGAGAAAGGAGGAGGAGGGAGGATAAGGCGGAGGAGGAAGAAGAGGATGCCTCTTGAGGCCCTCTGGAGGCTCTTGGAGACTTCCTGTGAGTCTCCGTGGGGGCTCTTCAGGGGCATCATGGGTGCCTCCTGGGGCTTCTTGGGGTTTCGTGGGACTCCTGGGGCCTCTTGGGAACCTCGTGGGGGCCTCTTGGGGGGCCTTTGGCCTTCGGAGGCCGTCCTGGGTCCTTCCTGAGCAGTCGTTCGTCCCTCTTCGGTCGCGTTAGGGCCGTCTTGGAGGTCTCTGGGGCCGTCTTGGGGGCGTCTTGAGGGCCTCTTGGGCTGTCTTGGGGCTCTCTTGGGCCGTCTTGCGGGCCTCCTGGGGACCTCCTGGACCTTCTTCAGGCGATCTTGGGGGCATATGGGCCCGTCTTGGAGTGTCGGAAGCCCGAACAGGCGACAATGTTAAATCCATTGAAACATTAAGTGCGATCAAGGATATGTGCCTCGTGAAAATACTCTTGGAGCCCACTTGGGGTCTTAGGGGCCTGTTGTTCCGTCTGGGGGACATTTTGGGCCGTGTTCTGGCCATCTTGGCCGTCTTGGAGGCGTCTCGGAACCGTCTTGAAGGCCATCTTGGGCCAGCTCGGCCGTCTTGGAGGCTATCCTGGAGCTGTTTCGGGCCGAATGCCCTTGCCTCCCATCTTTTCCGGGTGGCCAGCGGGCTGGGCCGAAGCCCCAGGGGGAGCTCTTTCGAACAGAACCAAAGATCTCCCAGACGTCTACAGTAGGAACTAGACCACAAGAAACCTTCCACAAGAAACTTAACCCTGAGAGACACCTGGATGTCCACTGATTTTTGGTATGGGACGTCACGTTTTCCATTGTAGAACCATCGAAACCCAAGAAACCCAGGGCACCCTGGAGGCAAGCAGGGTGTTTCTTGGCATGGGCTTCCTCTGTGGCACCCCTGTGGCAGGACACAGGGGGCGGCGGATCCAGTGGCCTGCGGCCCCTCCCGCCACCGTGCCTGGGCAACAGGTGGATGGCGCTGCCACAGGGGGGAGCTCCCAGTGGGGGGCCCTTTGGGGGGAAGAGGAGCAGGATGACGAGGAGGAGGAGGAGGAGAAGGAGGAGGAGGAGGAGGAAGAGGAGGAGGAGGAGGAGGAGGAGGAGGAGGAGGAGGACGGAGGAGGAGTTGAGGAGGAGGAGGAGGAGGAGGAGGAGGAGGAGGAGGAGGAGGAGGAGGAGAGGAGGAGGAGGAGGAGGAGGAGAGAGGAGAGAGGAGGAGAGGAGGATGAGGAGGAGAAGGAGGAGGAGGAGGAGGAGGAGGAGGAGGAGGGGGGGAGGAGGAGGAGGAGGAGGAGGAGGAGGAGGAGGAGGAGGAGGAAGAAGAAGAGGAGGAGGAGGAAGAGGAGGAGAAGGAGGAGGAGGAGGTGGACCAGTGTAAAACCAAGAGTCATCAATGATGTTGGAATTCACCCTCCCCCCAAGCTCCCTCTTCAGAGGCCCCCACGACGGTTCATTTCCATCGAGGGAACTGCCTCGTTGGAAGACAACCGTTTGAAGATTTTGAAGCATGCCAAAACATTGTTCTCGGGATTTCAACGTCCCGTATCAACTTGACTGCTGCGTCTTGACGATCCGGAATCGTGCCAGAGCGCCATTTTGGGACTTCAACACCGCGAATCAATATAATTGTTGCACCAGCAGAATCCTTAATCCTTCCGAAACCCAATTTCTGGTACGTTGATCATGGGAATCCGTGAAACTCTTGTAAGTTTTGAAAAAACAATGTGCGCGGCGCTAAGGCGAGAGCCACACTTCGAAAAAGAGCCGCCCTCAATCCGCGAAGCTTTTGTAATTTTTAAAACGAATGTGCGCGGCGCTAAGGCGAGAACCACATTTTGAAAACCACCCGCCCTCAATCCGTCAAGCTCATGCACATGTTCATAACGAATGTACGCGGCGCTAACACATTTTGAAAATCACCCGCCCTCAATCAGTGAAACTCTTGGACATCTTTAAAACGAGTGTGCGCGGCGCTAAGGCGAGAGCCACATTTTGAAAACCACCCGCCCTCAATCTGTGAAGCTGTTGTCACCCTTTAAGCTTCAGAGTAACCAATGGTGAGGAAGTCTCAGGCGAAACGCCGGGCTCGTCCTAAAAACTGGCCTCGGGGTGCGACAGGGATGAAGTATCTATAAGGAGAACGACTGGAGGAGGAGGAGGAGGAGGAGGAGGAGTTGGAGGAGGAGGAGGAGGAGGAGGAGGAGGAGGAGGAGGGGGGGGGGAGGAGGAGGAGATGGAGAAGGGGGAGGAGGAGGAGGGGGAGGAGGAGGAGGAGGGGAGGAGGAGGAGGAGGAGGAGGAGGAGGAGGAGGAGGAGGAGGAGGACCCTTGGGGGGTGCCTTGGGATACCCATCTGCGTTTTCTTGCTGGCCTCTGGGGCGGGGGGCTCCCAGGGCCGCGCTGCCGAGGGCCTCTGGGTCAGGAGGGGAAACGCATAGACACAATCAATCGTCGACTCCCAGGAAAACATGGGAACGTATGAGAAGTGGGGGGGAAGACAAACACTCAGAACATGTGGGAAAGTATGGGGGATCCTGGGATTTGTCGTCTGTATTGATTTGCGTGTCCCTGGGCCCCTTCATTGGGTGTCTTCGGGCCATCTTGGAGGGGAGGAGGGTCGGCATCAGCGAAACGATCTCCGTCCCCAGGGGGCCAGGGCATCTCAGCACCACCAGCTCGCCCCCCGAATGGGTCCCGCGAAACCCAGGGAGGACAGCACACTACCCAGCTGTTGGGGGCACGTTGGCCAGTGGGGCCAGGGCCAGGCCAGCAGGGATGTGGATATGTTGGGCGATGTTCAGAGGCGGCGGATTTCCAATCCTGTCCAGAGGGGTCGGTTCGTGGGCCCCACCTTTTGCGGGCTCTCCCGGGCTGCCTTGGGCGCCCTTTTGGGGGCCTCAGGGGCCGTCTGGGGCAGCCCTTTGGGGGCCTCCCTGGCTGTCTTCAGCGCTCTTGGGGCCGAAGAGGTGAGAATGGTCAAGCCATCTCTCGGCCCGAGGCTTCCATTGATTCGGGCGTCCTGAGCTGATCCCGAAGACAGCCCGAGATGCTCCCAAGAGGCGCTCGAGAGGGGCACCTGTGGCTACCTGGGGAGTGCTGGAGTTTTGGGCTCCCAGCCCTTGTCTGTGGGCCTCGAGAAGACGCGATGAGACCCGAGAGCGTCTGGGAGCCCCTGGGAGCGTCTGGGAATCGAGGGCCTGGGGTTCTGAATGATGGTGTGCTTTCTCGTTTTCTGATGCTCCAGGCGACCAAGGCTCACGGAACGCACTGCACGCCGTCCGTGCCAGAGGCACGGGGGCGGATTCTGGCCCCCTGAGCTGGTTGACCCTGGCTGCCAAGGCTCCATAGTCAATGACGACGGTGTGCTGTACTTCTCCAACGCGAACACGAGGCACCACCGCGCGAACATGACCGTGAAGCGCAGCGTGGATCAGGGGCTTACCTGGAGCCCTGGTGTTCTCGTGTGGGATGGTCCTTCGGGCTATTCTCAGCTGGTTCCTCTGGGCAGGCCCACGGAAATAGGCCTCCTGTTCGAGTCAAAGATGAAGGGCAACCACACCGACACGGTGCTGAGTTTCGTGCGAGTGCCGGTAGAGGCTGAGCAGCCTGTCGTACTGATCTGATCTCCAGACGGGTCAGCAGTCAGCCACAGCCTGGCGCTCAAACGGCGCATCGGCAAAAAAAAGTGGAGTCTGCGCAGCCCAGGCTAACACACAAAAAATGAGTGTGCCGCGTTCGCTCCAAGCACAGACCGAAGGACTGCGCCCTCCGCGGCCGCCCCCCAGGGTGAGAGGTCTTCGGCCTGCCCTGGGGCCTCGGTCCTGGTGCCCTCCTGGGGCCTCCTGGCTGGCATCTCGGGGCCCTGGGGGGCTTTCTTTTGGGCCCTCGAGGGCAATTTCGGGGCCGTGGGCTGTGTGTAGTCCTCAGGCAGCCGCCTTGCGGCCTGCTCGGGGCACGTTTGGGCCGTCTTGTGGTCTCGCCGGGCCATCTTGGGTGATGTTGGAGGCATCTTGTGGGATACGGTGTCATTTTAGGGTCTATCTCGGGCCCTCTGGGGGCAAACGCGCAGCGTGAAACACCAATGCATTACGTATGGCCAAGGAGAGCCCCAAACCGGCCGAAGAGGGCGCTAAGATGGTCCACGAGAGCCCCCCCAGACATTCGAGCCGCCCCTGACGGGAAGTGCCTTTGGCGTGGACCGTATCGGTGAACCAAGTGTACGTTGGACTGCCCAAGAGGGCCCCAGACGGCCCAAGACTGCCCAAGATGGCGCCAAGATGGCCTGAGAGAGCTCCCACAGAACCCTAAGGCATGCCCAGACAGCCCAAGAAGACCCCTGTAGCCCCCAAGAAGACCCCTACAGGCCCCCAAGAGGCCCTGGATGCCCCAACATGGTCCCAGACGGCCTCAACAGCCCACAGGGTAGCCTCAAATGATCACGAGGATCCATCTATTCTTCGACGTCCTTTTCGTCGGGCTCCTTACCGTCCTTCTTCTTCGTCGTCGTCCTTCTTCTTCTCCTCCTCAGCTTCGTTCCTCCTCGTACTCGTCCTCCTCAATTTTTTTGCTTCCTCGCGCTTGTCTTCTCACTCGTTGTCCTTCTGCCCCCAGTCGCTGCCCTCCCTATCATCCATGCCGCCATCCTCGACATCCGCCGCCTTGTCGTATCCTCTTCTTCCTGTCACCCTGTGAGACCAATGGACGACATCGGCGCTTCCCGTTCTTGTCCGATCAGATCTTTGATATTGTCAGCGCCGTCTCAGTAGCCGTTATCGATCTTGAAGGAGCCCACCGTTACTCAAAAGAGCCCCGAAGGGTCACCCAGAGGACCCAAAGAGGGCCCCAAGAGGCTTTCAAGAGAGCCCCAGGAGGCCCCCAGACGGCCCAAGACTGCCCAAGATGGCGCCAAGATGGCCTGAGAGAGCTCCCACAGAACCCTAAGACACGCCCAGATAGCCCAAGAAGACTCCAGTAGCCCCCAAGAAGGCCCCGACAGGCCCCCAAGAGGCCCCCAGGATGCCCCGAGACAGCCCCAGACGGCCCCAACAGCAAACAGCCCCCAGGGTAACCTCAAAAGATTCCAGGGGTTACCCCTTCTTCGACGTCCTTTTCCTTGAGCTCGTTCCGTCCTCCGTCGTCGTCGTCGTCGTTGTCCTCGTACTCCTCCTCCGCTTCGTTTCTCCTCGTGCTCGTCCTCCTCTAGCTCTTCTTCCTCGTCCTCGCGCTTGTCTTCCTACTTGTTGTCCTCCTGCTCCCTCGCTGCCCTCCCCATCATCCATGCTGTCATCCTCGTCATCCGCCGCCTTGTCCTCGTCATCATCATTTTGTTCGGTTCCCCTTACGAGACCAACAGACAAGATCGGCGCTTCCCATTCTTGTCCGACCAGATCTTTGCTATTGTCAGCACCGTCTCTGTAACGGCACGGCGTCTCAATGTGATGGGTTTCCCGCCTCGCTGAGACGCGATTATTTTTGGCTGCGGCCCACACGTGTTGTTGAATCATTTGTACCATTGCTATCTGCTTTTCAGTTGTGGTATATCGTCACTACTAGGTTGTTTTTTCCGTGAACATCGTTGCTGCCGTTGCGATGATTGTTGCAGCGGTGGCGGCGGTGGCTGTGGGGCGTCAGGCGACGGCTACCGCGGCGATGTTGCAGGGTTGGTGGTGGTGGCACCAGCAGGCGTCGGTGCCGGCATCGGCGACGGAGGGCATGGCGACGCTTGCGCGGGCAGCGGTCGCGGTCGCGGTCGCGGGGTGAATGCTTCCGAAGAAGTCTCGTGGCCTCCGGAGGCCTCCAGAGGCCTCCAGGGGCCTCCAGGGGCCTCCAAGTGCAGCCGACCGATGGCCTCCGAGGGCCTCCGACAGGCGCCGAATGCCTCCTCCGAGGGCCTTCGGAGGGTTCCCAGGGCTTCCGAAGGTCTCCGAGGGCCTCCGAGGGCGCCGCCGAAGGCCGCCGAAGGCCCTCGAAGGTACGGGCGGCGCAGGCGGCTTCGCGCGGCCGTGCCAGGGCCGGCAAGTTCGCCGAGAAGAGGCGGATGAGGAACCCCGATGCGGGCAGGTGCGCCGCCTGGCAGGGAGGGGGCTTCTCTTGGAGCTGGCTGGGGGGCTGAGGCGGCCCAGCACCGGGCCCGGTGAGCACGAAAGGGGGGCGGGGTTCGAGGTTCCGGGTTCGAGCGTGCTTCCTTGCCTGGCTCGGCCTGGGGAAGCCGTGCCTTCGGGCCCGGAGGCCGTCAAAGCACGGACCTGGGGTGAAAAGCTGTGCCAGGTGGGCCCGAGGAGGGGCCGGTCCGGGGACCGATGTGGAGCGGACTTGGCCTGATGGTTCTTGCCAGACTTCCTCGAGGCCCATGCAGTTCAGACCCCCCCCAGCCGCCTCCAAGGCGCTTCTCCTCCCCCCCGTCCTCAATTCGCCGCTGCTCTTGTGCGCGGGCCCTCAGCAGGAGGCCAGCTGCGCTGCGGGAGCTCTTCCTCCAGCCAGGCGCGCTCAGCGGCAGGAGAAAAAGTCCATCGGTTGCACGGACGGAGAGCGACTTCTTTTCAAGTGGGCATCTCGCCTTCGCGCCGCACGCACAGGCCTCAGACACCAGGAGGGGACAAAAGGCACATTGACACACTTCAGCGGCGACTCCCCGGAAAGCGTGGGAGCAGATGGGCAGTGGTGGGGAAGACGAGCACCCCAGAAGATGTGCGGAAATCTGGGGAATCCTGGAGTGTTTTTTTTTGTTATGTTTTGTTGTGTGTGTGTGTTTATTTGCGTGTTCGACTCAGTTTCAGTCTCCCCTGCCACCCGCCCGCCGCTGGGCCGCCGCGTGAGGCCTCGGCTTGCTGCGTTAGTCGTAGCCTGTTCGCGCTGCCTTTGCTTACGGTAGGTTCCTGTCGTGTCGACCGGCGGCGACCCCGCCGCTGGCGTTCAATGTTGAACGCCGCCGGCGACCCAGAATCGGTCGATGTTGAACGATCCGACGTTCCGGAAACGGCCGATCGTTCAAGGTTGAACATCCCCGCGGTGTCAGAAGCCAACGCCGGGGTCGTCACGACACGAACTTGCCGTAACCAGTCTCTGCGTGGCCCGCTTTGACCTGATTCGCCGTTCGGCGCGCTCGCCCGCGGCCGCTGACTAAAAAGTGTTTCTTTGCGTGTCCCTGGGCCCCTTCAAGACGGTCCAGCCGACCATCCTGTGGTGTTGGGTCCTCGTTCTCAAGAGACAGCGCCCCGCGTTCCTCTCCTCTCCTCTCCTCTCCTCTCCTCTCCTCTCCTCTCCTCTCCTCTCCTCTCCTCTCTCCTCTCCTCTCCCTCTCCTCCTCTCCTCCTCTCCTCCTCCCTCTCTCCTCTCCTCTCCTCCTCTCTCTCTCTCCTCCTCCTCCTCCTCCTCCTCCTCCTCCTCCTCCTCCTCCTCCTCCTCCTCCTCCTCCTCCTCCCTGGGCCCCCTCAAGACGGTCCAGCCGCTGCACGGACGCAGGGCGGCGCCTCCTCGGCGTGGGCCCCCCTCGCCCGAGGCCCTCTCAGCACGGATGCCTCGAGCCGCTCCAGCGCGCCGTGGGGCTCAAGTCGGGCCTGCCCCTCCTCTCCACAGGAGGAATTTTAACGGGCGAAACACGGTATAAGATAACCTTTTTCGCCGTCGGGGACACCTGTCCCTGGGCGGGTGGAAAGTTTATACCCCTACGGTGCCACCGTAGGGGTATAAACTTTCCAGCCGTTTTGGGACAGGCGCCCCCGACAGCGAAACAGTTTATTGTATACCGCTTTTCGCCCGTTAAAAATTTCTCCCGGCCAGTCACAAAAAACAGTCCTGGGACGATTGTTCGGGTGTGTTTCACCATCGCCATGGGGCTCAAGTCGGGCCTGCCCCTCTCTCCACAGGAGGAATTACTCCCGGCCAGTCACAAAAACAGTCCAGGGACGAGTGTTCGGGTTTGTGTCGCCACTCTTTTTTTTTGTTTGTGTGTGTGTGTGTGTTTTCGTCCAAATCCGCCTGTAGGGGGGCACGCCCGACCTAGCATTGGGTGCATGCGTGGAGGGCGGCTCCTTCTCGGCGTGGGGGCTCTCGCTGGAGCTCCCTCGGGTGCCACGGCCAGAAGAACGTGCAGTGGGGCAGCGGTGGCACGGATGGAGTGCAGTACCTCCTCAAACCGCTGCTGTCTCCGAGGCGGGGATTGATGCATCACCGACGCGCCTGGAGGATCGATCTCCGGAGACCTCGACAGGCGGTGTAAATTCATATCTTTGGGTCCCCGCGGGGCCGAAATACGTCCATATCCACCGCCTGCTGGGTCCCCAGGACGTCGGTTCCCAGGCGGTGGGTGTGGATCAATCCCCGCCTCGCCCTGTCGTTGAACACTGATCTTGCCCTCGTGTTATGATGCTCCATCCAACCTACTTTAGCCTTGAGCATCAGGAAGATTTTCGAGCGCCCCAAAAAGTACAGAAATTCAAGGGTTTTCACGTGTCGGGCCCGGGGAGACACTCGTCCGACACTGTCTCGACACTGTTCCGACACTTTTTTTTGACACTTTTCGGGGTGCTCGAAATTATTTCTGGGATGTAGTCCTTAAGTAGGATGGGAACAACATATAACATAACCCTCGTGTTCCTGCCTCGAAGGACGGAGGGCGACGAACTCTGCACAGGTCCACTGCCCCCCTGGCCGGGCCCTTCGGGGCCCAGGCGCTGCGTATACGCCCCCCTGGCCAAACCGGGAGTGCGCGGCGTATGCGCCGGTGCTGGGCTCAGGATGGGCCTGGCCAGGGAGCAGCGGATGTGCATAGACGTCGTCGCCCTAAGAAGGAGGAGGAGGAGGAGGAGGAGGAGGAGGAGGAGGAGGAGTAGGAGGAGGAGGAGGAGGAGGAGGAGGAGGATGAGGAGGCGGGGCGGAGACAGGAGGAGGAGGCGGAGGAGGAGGGGGAGGACGGAAGAGCAGGAGGGAGCAGTGGACATGTACAGATTTCGTCGACGCAGGGATGGAGGGTCGTTCTTTTCCAAGGCGGAGCTCCCGCCCGAACCGTCCTGCTGGCGGGGCGCGGCCTCTCCCATGGGGGGGGGCGCAGTGAGCGACGATGGCCTGCGCGGGAGCTTACCGGGGCTTGTGTGCTGCAGCATCGCCTGCGCCGGGGTCTCCTCCGCTCCCCCAGTGCACAGCGGCCCAATTTGCATCCAGCGCGCCCACTGGTGCCCGATCGCCGGAGCAGTGACCTCTGCCTAGCCGCTGGCGCAAAAAGTGCTGCAGCATAGTTTGCGCACACTGGGTCTGCTGTGGTCCTCTTCCTCCATTCCGCTTCCTCGTGCATACCTCCTCCCAGTCGCACCCGAGGCCAGTTTTTAGGGCGGGCCTGGCGTTTCCTTTGAGACTTCCTCACCATGTATGACCCTGAAGCTTAAACAGTGGCAGCAGCTTCACAGATGGAGAGCGGGCCGTTTTCAAAATGTGGCTCTCGCCTAGCGCCGCGCACATTTGTTTTCAACACTTGCTAGAGTTTCACGGATTGAGGGCGGGTCGTTTTCAAAATGAGGTTCTCGCTTTAGCGCCGCGCACGTTCGTTTTGACAGCTTGCAAAAGTTTCACAGACTGAGGGCGTTTTTTAGCGCCGCGCGTATTCGTTTTAACAAATTGCAGGAGTTGGGTTGAGGGCGCATCGTTATCAAAATGTGGTTTTCGCTCCAGCGCCGCGCACATTTGTTCTCAACATTTGCAAGAGTTTTACGGGTTAAGGGCTGGCGGTTTTCAACATCAGGCTGCCGCCTTAGCGCTGCGCGCATTCGTTTTTAACCATTTGCAAGAGAGAGCTTCGCGGATTGAGGGCGGGTGGTTTTCAAAATGAGGCTCTCGCCGTAGTGTTGCGCACATTCATTTTTAGATCAAAAGCTTCACGGATTGAGGGCGGGTCGTTTTCAAAATGTGGCTCTCGCCTTAGCGCGGCGCACATTCGTTTATGAAAACTTGCGCAAGAATTTCACGGGATCCCATGATCAACGTTCCAGAAATGGTGTTTCGGAAAGATTCAGGGTTATGAGGGTGCAACAGCAGTGTTGGAATCCCAGGATTGGCGTTCTCGCACCATTCAGGATCGTCAACACGCAACAGTCAGGTTGTTCCGCGGCGTTGAAATCCCGAAAGCAATGTTTTGGCATGCTGCAAAGTCTTCAAACGGTTGTCTTCCAACGACGCAGTTCCCTCAGTGGAAATGAACCGTTGTAGGGGCCCATGAACAGGGAGCTCGGAGGGAGGGTTTTCGTTGATGACTTTTTGGTTTGCGCTGGTCCTCCTCCTCCTCCCCTTTCTCCCCCTTCCCCTTCCTCCTTCTCCTCCTCCTGCCTCCTGCCTCCTCCTCCTTCTCCTCCTCCTCCTCCTCCTGCTCTTCCTCCTTTTCGTGAGGCCAGGTGCAAATTTCAGCCACAATCGCATGCTCATCATCTTCTCCTTCTTCTTCTTCTGCTTCTTCTTCTTCTTCTTCTTCTTCTTCCTTTTTCTCGACGTTTTACACCGGATTCCAGCGCGTTTGGCACGCCTGCCGCCCTTGTAGGCTCGCTCCCGGCGACAGCAGTTTCGTTCGTTCGTTCGTTCGTTCTTCTTCTACTCATACTTCTTCTGACTCTATTTGTTATTATATGTGTCATATTATTTGCATTATTTTTATATGATTGTTCTTCTTATTCGTCTTCTTCTTCTTCGTCTTCTTCTTCCTCCTCCTCCTCCTCCCTCTCCCTCTCTCTCTGCCCTGAGTCTCGAGAAGGGATGGGGAGGATTAGACGAGGAGGAGGAGGAGGAGGAGGAGGAGGAGGAGGTTGAAAACGAGGAGGAGGAGGAGAAGGAGGAGGAGGAGGCTGACGTTGTCGTCGTCGTCGTCGTCGTCGTCGTCGTCGTCGTCGTCGTCGTTGTCGGCTCCGCGGGGTGCCGTCGTCTTCGTCGTCCTCAGCCTCCTACTGCAAGGGCGGTGGGTCAGCACCGCGCGGCGGGGTGCAGCGGATCGAAAACCGGCATTCTAGGACCGAGGTTCGATCGCCGCGAAGGGACATGGCCTGAAGGGAAGGGGCACTGGAGTTTTTTCCCCGTAGGAGGAGGAGGAGGAGGAGGAGGAGGAGGAGGAGGAGGAGGAGGAGGAGGAGGAGGAGGAGGAGGAGGAGGAGGAGAGGGGAGGAGGGGGAGGAGAGAGGAGGAGGAGGAGGAGGAGGAGGAGGAGGAGGAGGGAGGAAAAAGAGGGAGGGGAGAAGGAGGAGAAGAAGGAGGAGGAGGAGGAGGAGGAGGAGGAGGGGGGGAGGGGGAGGGGGAGGGGAGGGGGAGGGGGATGATGATGATGATGATGATGATGATGATGATGATGATGATGATGATGATGATGATGATGATGATGATGATGATGATGATGATGATGATGATGATGATGATGATGATGATGCTTCACAGCGAATCAACGTAACTGTTGCGCCCGCGTGCTCCTGAATCCTTTCAAAGCACAGCTTCTGGTACGTTGATGATGGGAATCCGTGAAGATCTGCATTTTTCAAACGAATGTGCCCGGCGCTGCTGCGAGAGCCACATTTTGAAAAGCAGCCCCCCTCAATCCGTTGAACTCTTGCATTTTTTGAGGAATGTGCGCCGCGTTAAGGCGAGAACCACATGTTGAAAACCACCCGCCGTCAATCCGTGAAACCCTTGCAAATTTAAAACGAATGTGCGCCGCACTAAGGCACTAAGGCGAGAGCTACATTTCGAAAATCACCCGCCCTCAATCCATGAAGCTCCCGCAAGTTTTCATAAACGAACGTGCGCCGCGCTAAGGCGAGAGCCGCATTTCGAAAACGGCCCGCCCTCAATCCGTGAAGCTCTTGCCAAATGTTTTAAGCGAGTGTGCGCAGCACTACGGCGAGAGCTTCATTTTGAAGACCACCCTCCGTCAATCCGTGTAATTCGGTCTAGTGTTACGAATGTGCGCCGCGCTAATGCGAGAGCCACATTTTCAAACAAAACACCCGCCGTTCAACTCTTGCACATTTTTAAGACGATTGTGCGCCGCGCTAAGGCGAAAGCCACATTTCGAACGCCACCCGCCCTCATTCCGTGAAGCTCTTGCAATTTTTAGAACGAATGTGTGCCGCGCTCAGGCGAGAACCACATTTTGAAAACCACCCGCCCTCCATCTGTGAAGTTGCTGCCGATTTCCAAGCCTCAGAGTCACTAGTGGTGAGGAAGTCTCAGGCGAGACGGCCGGTCCGCCCTCAAAATTGGCCTCGGGGTGCGACAGGGAGCAGTTTGTTATGAGGAAAAGGAATGGAGGAGGAGTAGGAGTAGGAGTAGGAGTAGGAGTCAAGCTAGCCAGCTCGAGCGAGTCAAGCATGGCATGCCCAGTCCCACCCGCCCTCCCACAACATAAGAAGCAAAGCTGGCACAACTGGGGGCCGAAGTCACACCGGCCAGCCGGTTTGGTACAGCTGATGCGGCCGCGATGGCGGTTGCCGACGGGAACTGGCGAGCGCGTGTTGAATGCCGCGCACGCATTGCCAGACGAGTCGAGAATGGCCCGGTACACCGCAGGAAGCCAGAGGTGGCCGGAGGAAGCCCGACGGTCTGACAGGACACCCCAAAGCATTTTTGTGAAAAAGCATTGGGTTTTTGATGTTTTTATGTTGAAATGCTTGCAAACACACGGTGTTCGGTAGGATTCTGACATGAACGCGCGAGTGTGCTCTTTGTTGTATTTTTTGCACAGGATTCGCGGCCTGGGTGCATGACAGAGCATCGCGAGTGCACCGCGCGATGACGTGAAATCGCTGGATTTGACCGAATTCTTAAGATTCCTATGGTTTTCCTATGATTTCAGCAAGAGAGCCCGGGCGGGAAATTTGTACAATTTTTGTGAAAAAGCATTGGGTTTTTGATGTTTTTATGTTGAAATGCTTGCAAACACACGGTGTTCGGTAGGATTCTGACATGAACGCGCGCGTGTGCTCTTTGTGGTATTTTTTGCAATGGATTATCGCCGTGGACGACAGGACGTCCATGTCGAGAGGAAAAAATAAGAAAAATGTTGATTTTGTATTGTTTTTTACAGGTTAGGATGGGACCACCCGGATGCGGCCCCTATCGCCGGCCTGAGGGGGGAGTAGGAGTATATTCTAATAAGGAATAAGATTAGGACTAGGAGTAGTAGTAGTAGTAGTAGTAGTAGTAGTAGTAGTAGTAGTAGTAGTAGTAGTATAGTAGTAGTTAGTCAGTAGTAGTAGTAGTATTAGTAGTAGTAGTAGTAGTAGTATAGTAGTAGTCGTAGTAGTAGTAGTAGTAGTAGTAGTAGTAGTCGTAGTAGTAGTAGTAGTAGTAGTAGTAGTAGCCGAGTTCGTAGTAGTAGTAGTAGTAGTAGTAGTATGGAGTAGTGTAGTAGTGGTAGTAGTAGTAGTAGTAGTAGTAGTAGCTGTAGTAGTAGTAGTTGTAGTAGTCGTTGTGGTAGTAGTGGAAGTAGTGGTAGTAGTGGTAGTAGTGGTGGTAGTAGTAGTAGTAGTAGTAGTAGTAGTAGTAGTAGTAGTAGTAGTAGTAGTAGTAGTAGTAGTAGTAGTAGTAGTAGTAGTAGTAATAGACGCTCCTCCGCCTCCTCCTCCTCCTCCTCCTCCGCCTCGGCGACGAGAGGGGCTTTCGAGGAGCGTGGCCCGGCTGCAGCCCGTCGCCCTGCCACGGCAGAGCCCGCCGCGCGCAGGGCCAGCTCGCGCCTCGACGTCCCCGCGGGGCTCCCGCGGTTTCACGGAAGACACGGGGCCCTCCCTGGATGGGGCCCAAAGAGGCAGCGAAACGGGCTCCGTAGAAGCCGGGAGGACAGCGCAGGCGAGGAGAGGGGCTCTCCAGCGCTTTGGGCGCGTGCGCGCATGGCCATGGATGGGGCACTTCTGGGCCTCCCTTGTGAGCCCCGAGTAACGAGTAGATGGTGCCGGAGGATCGTTCCACATCGCCGAGGCATCGGCGATGCAGGTCGATGTGGAGCCCGATGTTCTCCATGATGGCGTCGCCGATGCATCGCCGACGTGGCCGATGCATCGTCGATGCATCGGCGATGCATTGGCGATGCAGCGCGATCCTCCGACCCCATCGATTCGGACCCCATCTGGGAGGCGCTTCTAGCATTGCAGGTGAAGAGAGAAATCTTCCATCGCTTCGGCGCGAGCGCGCGCGGCCATGGGGGTGGAGTGCAGGCGGGGCGTTCCAGAGAGGGCCTCGCCTTCGAGGGATCCAGGCGCTGGCATCCTTCCTCGCTCGGAAGGCTGGCGGAATGGAAACGGCGGCGGGTGCGCTGCGGAAGTAAGTACGAGGCGCCAGCATTTTTGGATTCAGGATTTCCGGAGGCGGCCACTGAAGCGACGTCACGAAACAGGGGACGACCTCGCGGACATTCGCGTAATGTCGCGCGTAGGCGATGTTTCGTTTGACATGTTGTGCGGCGTTGGCGGCTTGCGTGAGCTGGCGCGTGCGGTCGCCATGTCCCCAGGTGGAAGAGTTTGTTCTTCCTCGATTGGATCCTGGCTGGCTCCATGTTGGGGACTTGCATGCGGTATCGATCGGTGGTCACTCCTTCGGCGCTTGAGATTGCTCTGGGCTTCTCTCGTTCGCGTCCTGCGTCGCCTGCCGGCTGCACGTGCTGGGGAGGTACTTCGAGTTGGGGGACTTCTACATCGGGTGCACGGTGAAGGTGGCCTCGGTACCTTTCAAGATTGTGCGGGCTGACGAGCATTGCTTGAAGTACTTGGAGGCACATTTCGCTTTCCCTGCCTGCTCTCTCTATCTCTCTGGCTCTTTGGCTCTTGCACTCCTGCACTCTCTCGTTTCTCGTTGTTTTTTGTTTCGTTTTGTTTTTCTTCTTCTCGCCACTATATATACATACATATATGTATGTTTGCATGTATATATATATATATATATATATATATCGATATATGTATGTTTATATGTACGTACGCATGCATGCATGCATGTAGCTATGTATGTATGCATGTATGTACTTATGCATGTCTGTATGTACACACGTGTGCACATACGCATGCATGTACGTGTGTATGCATGCATGCAGACATTCATGCATGCATTAATGCGTTGATGCATGCATATTCAATCGCTTCGCTCATTCCGCCGGCCCATAATGCGTAATCGCTGGGGTTAAGCTGCGCGTCCGTGAGCCATGCTGCGCTGATGGGGGGGGGACGTTGTTTTCGGTGGTGGGTGCACCAGTCTGGTGTAGTTGGTTCGACGTTTGCGGCTGTCAGTGGTTTGTGGCGCCATCGTCTGCTCTCATGGGGCTCGCGGGTGGTGGTTTGGCGCGGTCCGCCAATGGAGCCCCGCCTTCTGGAGGTTCCAGGGTTCGGTCGGGCTTTGCCTGCGGTTGCCTCGGCGTGTTTAGGGGTGCTCTGTTTGTGATGCGAGGGTGTTGGAGTCAGTGGTCTTCGTACTTGGATGCATCGTTTGCAATTGTTGGTCCGTTCGCATACGGTCATGCCTATGGTCGGGGAGGGGAGCTGAGAGCCTCCGCCGCTTCGGGAAGCATCCTCGTCGCCGCCGTCGTCGTCGTCGTCGTCGTCGTCGTCGTCGTCGTCGTCGTCGTCGCCGCGGTGTGCCATATGTTGGTGAGCTCGTGGCGAGCGAAAAGGAGGAGGAGGGAGGCGGGGAAAATCTTGTATCAATTGTGCTTTATGTTGGCGTGCTCGTGGCGAGCGAGAAGGAGGAGGAGGAGGGGGACATTTGGCAGCCAAGTTTGGTCGTGGACAAGACGCGTTTTTTAGAGGCCGTTTGGGGTCTCTTGGGAAGCCTCTCGAGGGCCTCTTGGCAGTATTTCTAGAGCCTCCTGGGGCCTCCTGGGAGCCTCTTGGGGCCTGTTGGGGGCCTCTTGGGACCTCTCGGGGGCCTCTTGGGGGCGTTATGAGGTCTCCTGGGGACGTCTTGCGGCTTGGAGCGCGAAATGTCCGTTCCGGTCCCCCCTCGGGGCCCGGTCTTGGAGCCGTCTTGGGGGCATTTTGGGCCATCTTGGAGGTTTCTGGGGGTCTCTTAGGGCCCTCTGGGGTCGTTTCGGAACGGTCTTGAACCCTCGTAGGCCGTATGGGGGCGATATTGAGGGCTTTCTGGGCCGTCTTGGAGCGCTAGGAAGCCGAAGAGGCGAGAACGCCAAAATCCTCAAAAAAGCAATGAAAAGCATCAATTTTGGCTTCTTGGTGGCCTCTTGGGAGGTCTCTTGGACGCATCTTGGGGCGTCTTGGGAGCATGCATGAATGCATTGATGCATGCATATATGTGTGTATGCATGTATGCATGTATGCATGTATGTCTGTGATTCTGTAATGTATGTTTGCGTGCAGGTATGTATGTATGTATGAATGCATGTCTGTATGTATGCATGCATGCATGTAGGCATGCATGCATGTATGTATGTATGTCTGTATGTATGTAAGAACGTATGTATATTTGCATATACGTATGCATGTCCGTGTGCATGCATTTATGTACTTATGTATGGATCAATGGACGGATGTATGCATGCATGCATGCATGCAGCAACAGCGTCCTGCTGCTGTTGATGTTGATGCTGATGATGTTGCTGTTGCTGTAACTGTTGCTGTTGATGATGATGCTGATGGCGGCGTGGTGGTGGTGTTGATGATCATGCTGATGATGATGATGCTGCTGATGATGCTGATGCTAATGACGATGATGAGCATGCTGGCGATCATGATGGTGGTGATGATGATGCTGATGCTGCTGACGACGATGATGGCGATGATACTGATGATGATCACGATGAGTATGCAGATGAAGTTGATGCTGCTGCTGCTGATGCTGATGATGACGATGATGCTGCTGATGATGACAATAACGATGATGATGATGATGTTGAAGATGATGATGCTGATACTCATGATGATGATGCTGAAGATGATGATCATGATGATGCTGATGATGATGATGATGCTGATGCTGGTGATGATGATGAGGATGAGGATGATGATGCCGACGATGACGCCAATGATGATGATGCTGATGATGATGACGATGATGATGACGATGACGATGATGACGATGACGATGACGATGCCGATGATGATGATGGTGCTGATGATGATGATGCTGATGGTGATGATGATGATGGTGGTGGTGGTGATGATGAGGATGATGGTGGTGGTGGAGGTGGTGGTGGATGATGATGATGATGATGATGATGATCATAATGATGATGATGCTGATGATGATGATGATGATGATGATGATGATGCTGATGCTGATGCTGATGATGATGATGATGATGATGATGATGATGATGATGATGATGATGATGATGATGATGATGATGATGATGATGATGATGATGATGATGATGATGATGATGATGATGATGATGATGATGATGGATGATGATGATGATGATGATGATGATGATGATGATGATGATGATGATGTGATGATGGAGGAGGAGGAGGAGGAGGAGGAGGAGGAGGAGAGGAGAGGCAGGAGGAGAAGGAGGAGGATGAGGAGGATGAGGACGAGGACGAGGAGGAAAAGGAGGAGGACGAGGAGGAAGAGGAGGAGGAGGAGGAGGAGGAGGAGGAGGAGGAGGAGGGAGGAGGAGGAGAAGGGGGAGAAGGAGGAGGAGGCGGAGGGGCAAGAGGAAGAGGAGGGCGGGGATCAGGAGGAAAAGGACAATAGAGGGCAAGTGGTCCATCGCCTAGGTCCTGCTACCTCCTCGTCCTCCTCGTCCTCGTGCTCCCCCTTTCCTTGTCCTCCCCCCATCCCCTGCTGCGTCTTTGCTCGCAAACGGAAAACTTCGGACCCCCAGGCGAGGCCTGACGAGTTCCCATACGCCGACCCGCGTCGGTGCGCGCTGAAGCTCGCCCCACTAGCGGACAGCCCGATCCTGCGTGCGCACCTTCTCCTTGGGAAGCGGAGAGGAGGGAGGGAGGAGGAGGAGGACGAGGAGGAGGAGGAGGAGGAGGAGGAGGAGGAGGAGGAGGAGGAGGAGGAGGAGGAGGAGGCCGGAGGAGGAGGAGGAGGAGGAAGAGCAGGCGGAGGGTGGAGCGAGGAGCGAGGAGCGAAGAGGAGAGAGTAGGAGGATGGTCTGCTTTGTCTACCTACTGCGGGCGCTTTGGCGCCGACGATGAGGGGGAGGAGAGAAGATGAGGAGGAGGAGGATGAAGATGAGGAGGAAAGACGAGAGAGGAGGTGCGCTCGCACCATATCTGACATCCGACCCTCCCACCCATCCCTTCTCATTGCGTTGATGCGTTCTATATCCACGGACGCGTGTCATAGTGGACCTGGAACTTCCAACCGGCCCATCTCGTCTTATGTGCAGTCGGAAAAAGGGAGTTGCCACCATACGATGAGTAGGTCCATGAGGAGGTGGCGGATGGGCAGAAGGACGAGCTGGAGGGAAACGAGTATGATGATGTTAATGATGTTGCTGATGCCGATGCTGATACTGATGCTGCTGCTGCTGCTGCTGCTGATGATGATGATGATGATGGGTGATGATGATGCTGCTGCTGTTGCTGTTGCTGCCGCTGCTGATGATGACATGATGATGCTGTTGATGATGCTGATGATGACGATGACGATGACGACGATGATGTTGATGATGATGCTGATGACGGTGATGTGGATGTTGATGTTGATGACGACGACGATGACGATGATGATGATGATGATGATGATGATGATGATGATGATGATGATGATGATGATGATGATGATGATGATGATGATGATGATGATGATGATGCTGACGATGATGCTGTTGATGATGGTGATGCTGCTGCTGATGATGATGATGATGGAGAACGTTAAAACAAAACAGCATCATGAACTGGAGTGGAAGGAGCGGGAGGAGCAGGAGAACCAGGGTCACGTGAAGGAGGGGGAACGTGGGGGGCGACAACGATGAGGAAGGACTCGGATTCAGTCTGATCGGCGGGAGCAACGGCGCGATCCTGAAAGTGAGGCCCACGCTGCAGCGGGCATATCATTCTTGAAGGATCGAGGCCGTTCGGGTTGGACCAGCACATCTGACAGGTCGGACCCTTTCTTCGTGGCACAACCAGTACGCGGAGGGGGGGAGGGGCGCGCTACTCTCAGCACGTCTTCGGAGAAGAGAGGGGAGTAGTATTCACGCGGGGTAGAAGTCAGGCGACTGCAAACATGGATTAAGGGGGCGTGGATTAGCGACGGGTCCCGTTTCCACGTGACATCTCGGATCTCCGCCGCCGAGCGAGGCAGCACCGGCCGCATTGTGGGGAGGCGCGCCAAATCCACGGATCGCTAACCCATGTTCGCGCGCCCCCGAAAAGTCAGGAGGCAAGCTGGGTGCGCTCGCGCCACCTCTGGCATCTCGGCCCTCCCTCCCGTCCTTTGCTACCGCACTGGTATGTGATCGATCCGTCGGCGGGTGTCACAGCGGACCTGGACCCTCCAAGAGGGCCCCATCGTGTGTTGCGCAGCTTGAACAGGGGAGCTGTGTACCTTGGGGGAGGAGGAGGGAGTGAACGAAAATGAGGAAGGAGGGCGAGGAGGAGGAGGAGGAGGACGCGGAGGAACAACAGAAACAGCAGGAGGAGGAGGAAAAGACATTGAACCAGGATGAGGAAGGAGGAGGGCGAGGAGGAGGACGAGGAGGAACAACGGAAACAGCAGTAGGAGGAGGAGGAGGAGGAGGAGGAGGAGGAGGAGGAGGAGGAGGAGGAGGACCAGGGGAAGGCAGGGGAGGGGAAGTGAAGGGGGCGACAGCAACGAGGAAGCAGTCGCTCCGAAGCTGGGGCCAGCGCGCCCTTCTGAGTGACGGGAGCCGACCAATCGCCCACCCTGCAACGAGGCAAACGCGGTTGCGGCAGCACAGCTCTGGAAGGATCGGGGATTGCCAGCTGAAGCAACCCCAACAGCAAAAACGGCGAACCTCGTGAAGTGTGGTGTGTCAGAAGACATGCGCGGAGAGTGCGGGAGATCTTCTGGACAGGGTCAGGGGAGAGAGGAGAGCAGTTTTCGCAATGTGCGAGTGCAGACAGGAGAGGGAACGAGAAGGATAGAGGAACAGGAGGAGGACTAGGAGGAGGAGGATGAGGAGGAAGAGGAGGAGGAGGAGGAGCCAGCAATGGTCAGGTACCCTGCATTTGCAGAAGAGGAGGATCGGGAGGAGGAGGAGGACACCACGGTGTCTCAAGAGTGTCAACACTGAGCAGGATCTGCTGATATGATGTGGCCTGAACATCCTATCGGCACCAGGAGGAGGACACCAGGAGGAGGAGGAGGATAACCAGGAGGAGGAGGAGGAGGAGGAGGAGGAGGAGGAGGAGGAGGAGGATAACACTGAGCAAGACCTGCTGATGTGATGTGGCCTGAACATCCTGCTCGAGGGCCTCCTCCCTCCTGCCTCATCGTCGCCCTCCTTCCCCGTCGTCCTGCCCGTGGCGGGTCTTGCCAACTACGGGGGACCATTCTTGAACCGCCGTCGTTTATATACGCGCCGACGCGCGGGGGATCGGCCGGATGGGCGTTCCGTCCGGTCCTCGTCTTCCCCTCGCTTTTCCCCATGTCTTCCCCTCGTCCTGTATCCTCCTCGTCCTCCTCCTCCTCGTCCTCCTCGTCGTCGTTGATTTCGGTTCCTGCACCTCACCTCGACCTTCTTCTCCGGCCTCGCCTGCTCGTTATCCTCTTCCCCCGAGGTGCTTCCTCCATGTGCCCGTCACTCCTCGTCCTCTTCTTCTCTTCTTCACCTGTCCCTCCTCTTCTTCCTCCCCTCGTCATCCCCCCTCGTTCCCTCTTCTTCCTCCCCTCGTCTTCCTCCTCCCCTCGTCTTTCTCCTGCCCTCGTCATCCTCCCCTCGTCTTCCTCCTCCCTCCATTTTTCATCCTCCCCTCGTCTTCCTCCTCCCCTCGTTATCGCCCCCCTGGGAGCTACGACGTGCCACTGGGGCACTGGGGAAGCCGAGGAAGCCTTGGGAGGCTCTTGGAGGCCACTGGGAGGTCACGAGAGTCCTTTGGCGGCCTTGCGATCTTTTGTGGAGCTTTGCAAGGGAGCTTCAGTATGTTTATGCACATTCAGGGTGGAAGACTTGCATGCGCAATTCAGCTCGGGTAAAGATTCTGCCCCCACCCCCCCCCGTGCTTTTGACCCAGCAGTCTTATTGTACAGTGTGTTTGATCAACTTAGTGCCGCTGGCGACAGGGATTTCCGACTAGTTAGGCTTCTGGCCCCGGATCCGTGCATACAGACTGCAACAGTCAGAACATGCTTTTAGCCAGCGCTGCAGCTTGGTGCGCGAATTCCAGAGTGTGAGAGCCGAGACGGCCTCCGCCCGTCATCGCTCGCTTCTTCTCGGAATCGTTCAACTGACCCCCATCCCCACCCCATCCCCATCCAATTTTTTTTGGCCATTTTGGCTCAAGCAATTGTGCTTCAGGATAGGTCCTGAATGAAGAGGGATCGCGCGCTATTGACCCGCTCCCAGTGCATCCGACTGGCGAGCATCGCCCCTCTCCTTTGCATCCTGACCAAACCAGTGTCGCCCGCAATGTTTGGTGGTGGTGATGGTGATCATCCAATGGAGCCGATAGGTATTGACGGAGACATCTTCGGCGCTCCTCCCGCGCAGAGGCCTCGGCTCTCCGCCCCTTTCGACGCAGCTGCCGCAGCCTCCCGTCATGCAGTGCAAGAAGGCCTTGATGAGGGTCAAGCCCGTCTCCTTCGTGCCATGGGTGGCATGATCAAGGACGCCACTGAGGTACAGACGGTGAAAATCGAGGAGATTCAAAAGAACGTCACGTCGGTCTCCGTGGAGGTCCGTTCCCTCAGCTCCCGTCAGCAGGCCCTAGAGGCTCGCATGGACGCCTACGAGAGTGGACAGCAGCAGAGAGGCGGAGGAGCTACCCCAGCCTCTGGAGTGCACACACCATTGTCTACGACGCTCTCGGCAGCTATCTCGGCAGCATCCACAGCAGTGTTCATTCCCATGGGTAGACGAAAAACGATATGTGTTGGTGGCTTCAAATACGACGCTAGCGACAAGCTGGTGGCACAGATCAAGTCCGAGCTCGACAGGGAGAACATCCTCTACGAGCGCGTCGTGGGTACTGGTTCTTATGGTGAACGTGTAAAAGTACATTTCTTCAGCTCAGACCAGATGTGGGTATGTCTCAAGAAGATGAAAGGCAGAAAGTTCAATGGTGGCTCCCTTCGCCAGGCAGGTCGCACGGCTCTTTGGCACAACATCGACAAAGTCGGCTGGGAGATCGGCGTGAGCAAGCAGCAGGTAAAGGCCGTGGCGGAGCTCAAACCAGTCCTGGCAGCCATCTTCCCGAACAGCCCGCAGCACAACTGGGACGCAGCCTTCGATATCAAGAACGACAGGGGGGAGGTCATCTTCCTGCCGATGTCGTTGCCAGGGAACGCCCGCCAGGGAGGCCCCATCAAAGTGTACGATTGCGACAGGACCACCCACAAGATGAAGATCCCGCCCTCCGCGAACGCGTTGCTGCAGGACCTGAACATCGACCTCAAGCTCCAGACACACCTCGGTGAGATCCACGCTGTGGCGGATCCCTGAGGCGGCACTTCTCTTGCTATGCGTAGATGGCGACAGCGACGATTGGTCGACCATTCCTGTATTCTTTCTTGGAATGTCAGAATGATCTCGCTGAAGGGGCTGCCAATTTTTCTACGCGACCTCGAGAGAGAATTCCCATGGTGCATGTTGCTTTTACAGGAATGCCTCGCCCTTCGCCGAGCAGAACCTCCAGAGCAGATCGAAGGACATCGCCTTATTGTGGGCCCCCCAAGTGGCAAGGACAGGCAGAATGCGATCGTTGTCCATCGAGACTGTGGCTGGAAGATTTTGAGCGTGGTCCAGGGCACCCG